CTTCGTTTTCCCCTAGACACTCCTGACTTGCTGTTCTACCAACCCTCCTCCCACCGCTTCTTCAGCTCTCGTGACGTCACTATTTATGGGTTTGTCTATTGTTACACTCGCTTCCCCCACAGCGGTACCCCGGTTCCCCCCCTCCCCTGTTCCTCATCGTCCCACGCTTCCGGTCGCTCCCCTCCCCTCGCATCCCGCCCCGACTGGTCTGTTGCACGTAACCTTGCAGTCCCCACAGTTGCCAGCCTCGTCCTCGCAGTCATTGTTGCAGCCTTCGTCGTCGTCGCAAGGTCTAGTGTCTCAGCGGCCGGTCACTGTGGACACTGTTGGACCTGGTTGATGCGAGCATGCCTGTGATTCTGGCCACTTGGCGGACCGGGAATGGTCGGCATGCCTTGCTTGCGCTCAAGAGGTTCCGGATGGTTGCATGTAGTGAGGCTCGTCTGTTGGGACCGATGGAGAATCGGTCGGTATCGGTCTCCAGTTCTACGCCCAGGAATCGGAGGTGTTGCGATGGTGTGATTTCTTCGCGTTTATCACAAGTCCTGCCTCTTTAAGGTCCAATATCACACGCTGGCAAATTGCTTGCGCGTGGGCTTTCGACTGGCAGAGAAATAGATGTCGTCCACGTAAGTTATGACTCGGATGCCTTGTTCTCGCCAACGCCGAGTTAGCTGCTTGATGAGCTGCGTGAAAACGAATGGAGCTGTCGCGAGGCCGAATGGTAGTGAACGAAATGCGCATGTGCGCCTATCAAATTCGAAGCCAAGGAACTTCCAGCATGATGGGTGGATGTCGATGTGGTGGTAACCAGATTAAAGGTCAATGGAGAACATCCAGTCCCCAACGCGCGCCAGGTCGGCGACCCGGCTGAGCCCCTCGTACTTGAACTTTGGGACGATTAAGTTGGCGTTGACTTTCCTCAGATCAAGAATGAGTCTGCATTTGTCTTTTTGCTTGACCACGTTGAGTGGACTTATGCACGTAAGCTCCGTTGCGGCCATCGGAACTGCTGCTCCGGTCTCTATGAGTTCTTGGATGGCGGTACGTGGGCCGTGGCTCCATGGCAACCAGTAACCCTTGGCTATGACGGACAGGACAAGGCTTCTAGGACACCATGAGCTCCACCACGCAAAGGTCGCGCGAAGACGACCGCGCATCTGTGTAATAGTTTTGTCCGTGACGGCAATTTCATACGGGTCGTCGTAGCATGCCGCCTCGCACCGTCGTGCTCCTGTACATTTGAGGCCAAGTAGTATAAGGGTTGGGTGTTCTAGTTTAAAGCATGCGTGTGCATGTGCATGTACAGGCAACCATTGATCGAAGGTGTGAAGAGAATTGACAATCTAATGAAATGTCAACGGATGTGGCGGGCGCAAATCGGCGCGTCTGCTTCTTCCTCCTTGTTTGTTTGTTTTTTTTTTTTACTCTCCTCGTCGTCCATTCGGTAGGACATGGTTGTGCCTGCCCCTAGTGCCTCGGGGCTGATGCCTAGGACCATGGACACACTTGTCCATTGTGATTTATCTCGTTCTCTCTCGTTCTCTCTCTCTCTTTTTCTCTCTCTCTCTCTCTTTTACTCTCCTCGTCGTCCATCCTCTCTCTTTCTCTCTCTCTCTCTCTTTCTCTCTCTCTCTCTCTAACGGTCCTTTGTATTGATAGTTGGGGCTCGGTACAAGCATGCAGATTCTAGGGCAGGGCACGTCTAGCATGGAGACAAGCAAACAGGGGCAAGCAAACACAAACACAAACCTACAGAGCACAAAAAACCTAGCGAACACAGCCTCTATCTAAGGTGCCTCTAGCGTCGAGAAACAGTCCCCCGGGTTCATCTCCCCCTCTGGTCCCCCCAGTGGGGGGTTCTCTGCTCTTGCTGCCAGGTTCAGCTTTGTGAGAAAGCTCACCGCCTGGGCTCTCTGGAGTGCGACCGACCAGCGCTGGCGGAACTGGTGGAGCATCTTCGCGGCCTGGTAGGTAGATGGGTCCGCGTTGAAGATTCTCAGTGCAGCTTTGTCCGCCAGCAGCTTTAGGAAGGTGGGCACCTCGTCACAGGGGCAGCCATAGGTCTCTACCGCCAAAGGAACAAACCCAGCAAACTCAGCCCTGCCTTGATAGAGGCCTATCTTCTTGTCTGCTGCCTCCCGTGCTGCCCAACCCCTCCCCTTCCTTGCGGTCTCATCCCGCTTACTGATGGGGTCTGTTATTGTGATATCCCCCAGCCATACCGCCCCCGAGCTCCCATCCTTGAGGGCCAAGTCGGCCTTCTTGTTGTCTACCGGGCTAAAGGCAGTGCACTCCTTGTGCACTGCAAATCCTGCATCCTGCGCCATGCGGATGCACTCGTCGCGCAGCTCGTTGTGGGTGTTGGTCCGGCCGTGCCCTGTACCACACCTAAGCAAGTGGTTCGGCAGCCTCTTATCCAGGATGGGGACCCGTTTGGTGCAGTCACAGCAGTCGGGCACAGAGAGTGGCAGGCCGAGCCTAAACTGGAGGGCGAACGTGAAGTGGCAGGGGTATAGGCGTAGGGAAGGCATGTAGGGGATCGCCATGAGCCAGTCCCCCGCCCCATAGCCCGTGAGGGACATGAGGCGCTGGGTGTGGCCTAGCAGTGGGTTCAGCTCCATTTGTGTGGATGCGGCAATCTGGGCTGCACTCCGGCCCCCTTGGACTAGGAGAGCGAGGCGGTGTTGCAGCTGGCCCTTGGGTTTTGCCTGCTCCGCCGAGATGAGGTCCCTCGCCTCCTGCGTGAGGCTGTCCCTGCAGTCCCCGATCCACCTCTGCAGCTCGTTGGGGCTGTGGTCGGCTGCTGCGGGGGTGTCTAATGCCGCTGTCAAAGTGGCCCCTGCCTGCCCCTCTAGCTGACCGAGGAGTGTGTGTGCCTACACAAAGCTTGCCATAAAACTGTACCGGCCCTCTACCGCTGGGTTGGCGAGGCCCAGGCCGCCTAGGCTTGGTGGGAGTGAGGCTTGGTCCCAGATACGTTCGTCCTCTGTCTCTCCCCTTGGGTGGCGCACCCCGCAAGCATCTAGAAGCGTGTACAGCAGCGCCCGGCCCCACCCTGACCACTCTGCTTCGGGTAACAGGTATAGGGGTGTGGTGCGGGCTAGGTAGGACATGCGCCTGGAGATGCACCGTGTTAGGAGTAATGCCGCTACTTGGGGGTCCAGTGTCTCGAGCTGTGATCGTAGAAAGGCTGCTGCTCCGTCTGTCGTGCCAATGAAGCTTCCCAGCACTCTCAGCCCCTCCGTGCGTAGCGGGACGCCCTCGGGCAGCTGCTGGGGGTCTATTGCCGCTGCGCTCCACGCGGCGCACTTGCCTGGGTTGTGGGTTAGTCCTACGCCGCGTAGGCCAGCTGTGAAGTGGCGGAAAGCGTCGGAGCAGTCGGCAGCAGGGCCGAGGAAGGTGATGTCGTCAGCGAAGGCTAGGCATAGAACCGTAGGGAAGGCTGCAGCTGTCGTGGTGAGAATAGGGTGGATCCCTGCGGCAAATAGCAGCGGGCCGAGCGGATCCCCCTGTCGTACGCCTGTCTCGCTAGTTAGTGCCTCGCAACCGAACTCCGCGTCAAGGAACAACTGGGCCGGCCTGCTATAGGATGCTTTGACGAGGGGAATGAGGCCTTGGAGGTCGGTGTCGCGAAGTGCACTGACTACTGCCGCGCGGCTAATCGAGTTAAAGGCGTTCGCTAGGTCGGCTTGCAGTATAAGCGTTCCGGGGTTTGCGTAAGTGAAGGCCCTCGCGGCATGGATAATCGCTTCGCTACCGCCCTGGACAGACACGCAGTACTGTAACGGGAGGAAATGTGCACGGCAGACTTGGGAGAGGGCTGAGAGGGCGGACTTGGCGGCTAAGTTCTAAGATACACTCGCCTACCGCTATCGGTCTAGTTCCTCCGTCAGGCTTGGCTAGAGCTATGAGACGGCTGGCTGTTAGTAGCGAGCAGACCTCGTCAGGCAGTTTGCCTCCCAAAATAGTGTTGACGAGGGCGTGGAGGTGTGTGGTAACCCCCGCGTTGGCGAGGGATGCATCACGCAGGTGTTCAGATGTCATACCTGACGGTCCTCCTCCCACCCCGTTCTCACAACGGCACAGCATTTTAATGAAGTCCCCTTTTTCGATCGACACTGCTTGAACAGTATCGGGGATGTTCCAATCGATGGTAACAGGTGGCGCTGGGGGGTGTTTTGCTTTGAGAGCGGCGAGGATGGGTGCAGATGGGTCGGCGACCGGCGTTGACTCAAGGGCGAGGATCGCCCTGCGGAGGCTTCCTTTTCGTGCGAGGCCTTCTGCCCTGGAACGTTTGCCAAGGGCATCTGGCGTATGGCGAGGTGGGTGTGGTCCTGTGATTGCGGTAAACGCCGAATCGTAAAGCTGCTGCCACTCGCCTTTGTTAAACTGGCGAAGTCGGTGCTTGACTGCCGGCCAATCGGGCTTCTCTGTTGACGGGAGGCGAAGGGTGAGGCGCGGGAGAAAGAGTAACAGGCGCCAGCCTGCGACTGACGCAGGGTTACGCGCGAGGTGAAGGAGGGGTGTCAGGAGGGCTGTGGCGAAAAGTGGGCGAATGCCAGCAGGGAGTTTGCGCGAAAGCGGGGGCTGACGACTGTCGCGTAGAGGGGTCAGGTCCCATAATTCCACTTCACCGAACCGCACCAAGTCCTCGGCCAATTGTTCAGGCGAGAATTGGCGGGCCTCTGATGCGGTGGTGTCCGGTGCCGGCCGGTTTAATTCGCCACCTGTTGCAGCTGGAATTGGAGCGGCTCGGCGTGGTGTTGCGTTTGCCCGACGTCTACCTTCCCGTTCCTCCTCCTCTAACTCCCCCGATTCTTCCGTGGTGGACTCTTCCACCACCTCAGCTATAAACGTAGGGTCTCTTGCCTCCTCCTCAGCTTCATTGTTCTCCACTCTTCGAGTTAAGGCCCGGCGTGCTTCCCTCTGGAAGCCATTCTCAGGTCCGCCTCCCCTTCCAGTCGCTCCTCCTCGTCCGCCGCCTCGTCCGCCCCTCGATGCCTGTATCGATTGGCGACGAGTATTGTTCGTACTCGCCGCGGCCCTTTGTCGTGGCGTCAGCTGCAGTTGCCCCTCCAGCCTTGTCGTCCCCGGCGCCTGCGGCTGTGGGGATGTCGCCTCTTCCCGGACCTCGATCTGCGCCGTCATCCGTGACTCAGGCTGGCCTTGTCCTCGCGCCTGCTGCGCCGCCCGTTCCCGTCGTGGCGTCGTTGTCTGTGCCTGGCTTGGCGCCTGGTCATGCGCCTGCGTCGTCACCTGCTCCCGCGCTCGCCTCGGCGTCTGCTCCTGCGCCTGCACAAGGCTCGGCTGCGGCGTCTGATCCTGCGCACACTCCTGCGCCTGCGCCGGTGGTTCCACCTGTCCCCGTGGGGGTGTCGGTGCCCGTGCCTGTGGTTGCGGCGTCGTCTGCTGCTGTTGGAGAAGCCTCCGCTCTGCCACTGGCCGCGCCTGCCGTGGCGCCTTCTGCTGCTGCTGGTGCGGACCCGACTTACCCGCCACCTCCAGCCACCAGCGCCGGCCTGAGCTCGGCGGAGGTTCAGTCGGCTCGCGTGTCGCCTCCGGACGCTCCTGCACCTCTGCATGCGGCAGCAACCGTGCCGCCTCCGACCGTCCAGGCGGGTCCTGCTCCCGCACCCCTGGCTCCTGTTCCTCCCGCTCAACATCCTCCGTCCCCGGGCCGTCGGCAGCATCGGCCTCATTCCCCTGTGCCACGTGACGAGCGGGAGACGTCACGGTGGCGGCACGATTCACCTCGCCGTCGTGGTTCGCAGGCGAACTGGCCTGCACCCCGTGGTGGCCGAGGTGGCTGGTGGGGGGGGCGTGGTCGCGGTGGCGGCTGGGTGTATGAGCAGCCGGTGACAATGGCTGACTTGCAGCGGGTTGTGTCCGACGCGATGCGCGAGGAACGGAACGGGCAGGCGAGCGTGAGCAATTCTCCGCGCGTAGCTCCTGCGCCGGTGTCCCTTCCTCCGGCTGCACCACATGCGCCTGCACCTCCTCATCACTCGTCTGCCGCTCCTCCTCCACGCGCTCCTGTCGCATCTGTTGCTCCACGTGGGAACCGTCTGCGCCTGCCGTGGGTTCCTCCTGTGGCGGGCGTGGAGTTCGTGACCTTGGGAGGAGGACCGGTGACTCCGCAGTATCCGACTCTACTGCCTGTGGCACCTGCTCCTCCAGCTGCTGATCTTCCGGTACACTCGCTAGTGGGGCCGTCTCCTTCGGCGGATGTGCCTGAGGCGTCTCTGGGGCAGCTTTGGCGCCTCTCTGAGGGTTTGCGGGCCGTTCACCTGATCCAGGTGTATTGTCACGCGGCACTTTCTCGCGGCGTGCCTCTGGAAGGCGGCCCTCTGGACGAGTGCTCGGATGCCTCTGACCGGCTTGCCGAGCTCCTTGCGCCTGTGTTGGCTGCGCCCGCGCGGGGTGGAGTTGCGGGCGTTGGACAGCTTGGGACTGCGCTCCGTGGACTGCGCCGGGCGATGCGCGCAGCGACTGCAGTCGACCTGATCGGCGCAACCACTGTGGTGGTGCGCGAGCTTCATCGCTCGTTGACTGGGCTCCTTGCTGTTTTTGACGCGGATCAGATGTAGATTCCGCCGATGCCCCTGTCATCCTTGCTGTAGGATGTAGTGTTGCCTAGGCCGTTGCTGCTGTTGTCATTACGTGAATACCTTTGTGATAAGTTACTTGCCACCCCGAATCGCGCGGCCGAAGGCCGCGCTGTCGAGCGTCGGCGCGGAAGGCGGCCGGCGCGAGCGAAATTTTCTGCCACACAACTGAAGAATGAAAGGCAAGAGGCCAAGAGAGGCCTCTTATACTTGGGAAGGGAGAGGGCAGAGGGCTAAGGGAGAGGGCAGAGGCTAGGACCCTCTCTCTTTCTCTCTCTCTCGCTCTCTCGAACGAGCGAAATTTTCTGCCACACAACTGAAGAATGAATGGCAAGAGGCCAAGAGAGGCCTCTTATACTTGGGAAGGGAGAGGGCAGAGGGCTAAGGGAGAGGGCAGAGGCTAGGACCCTCTCTCTTTCTCTCTCTCTCTCTCTCTCTCTCTCTCTCTCTCTCTCTCTCTCTCTCTCTCTCTCTCTCTCAAGCAGTCCTTCATTGATGGGTTTATAAGGATACATGCATGGTAGGGGTAGGTGCTAGATAGTCCTAGGCATGCAAGCAGTCTAATACCAACTCCCATACTGATAGCCCTGCAGAGACAGCCCAGTCGTGGACAGCCGAGGTAGTCACCAAGCAGATAGACAACCAACAAGCAGGCCGCCAGGTAAGCAGACAAAGGAACAAACCAGCCAATGAGTAGACAGGCAGACGAGCAGACCAGCAAACATACCGTCAGTCAAGCAAACACGCGGGCGATTCTGCCTTCTAGCCGACCCTGTAAACATTCTGGCACCTATTCCAGCCTGCTACCCTTGACCCATCCCTGGCCCTATGCCTGGCCAGCCTGCTATGACCCCACCCAGTCACCTCCTCCGGCCCATAGCTCATCCTCTCCTTCCTCCCCGGCCTTCTACGTCCCCCAGTCCTCGAGGCACACGGTGGTGCACCCTTTCCTTTGCATTGCTTCTTGTATAACTTGGGCCTTTGGCCCTTTAGTCAATCCTCCTTCCTTTCTACTCTCGATACTTGCCTAGCACCCAAAACCCTAGGCACTACTAAGCTTACTTTGACATGCTATCAGAGCAGGTCCCTCCTAGGACCTACCTCATTTGGGCCCACCTTTAGCTTCCGCTAATGCGCCACTCTGCTGCCCGTCGCGCGGCCCGGGCGCGCGTCGGTTTTCTGCCCGTCGCACGCCCCGGGCGCGCGTCGATTTTCAGCCCGTCGCGCGCCCAGGGCGTGCGTCGATTTCGTGCCCGTCGCGCGCCCCGGGCGCACGACGTTTCCCTGCCCGTCACGCGCCCCGGGCGTGCGTCGGATTCTGCCCGCCCGCGCGCCCTGCTGTCGCCAGCTCAGCTCCTACCCCGCCCCCCCCGCCCCCCCCCTTCTCCTCCATCCCCCTGCTGCGCGTGCAGCAGTGGGGGGGAGGGTATGGGGGTGGCGGGTGTGAGTAATCAGCTGCCGCCCCTCCTCCTCTCTCTCCCACTGTCGCACATGCCGCTGTTTGGGGGGGGGGGGGGGGGGGGGGGAGGGTGTGGGGGAGACGAGGGAGTGGCGATAGGGATGCCGAGGGGTGTGAAAAGGAGTTCTGGGAAAATGGGGGAGGTTGAAGGGGGGTGGCCGCCGTGAAGCCAGCAGCTCCAGTTGCCCGTGAGCCCGTTGCTCCAGTCACCCGTGAGCCCGTTGCTCCAGTCGCCCGTGAGTCCGTTGCTCCAGCCGCTCGTCTAGCCGCGGAGCCAGTTACTCCTGTTGCCCGTGTGCCAGTTACTCTAGTTGCCCCATCCAGCTCATCCTCGAGGGTCTGAGCCAGGTCCCCTAGGCGCGGGGCCCAGGGGTCAGCCATGGACTGTGGGTAGGCTTCCTCGGCGGCCTGGTTGGACTTGGCCAGCAGGGTTGTTGCTTGGCAACGCTGCTGCATGACCGACCAGCGCTGGCGGTAGTGGCAGTAGAGTTTGGCTGCAGTTTTGGTTGGTTTGGCAGCCCTGATCTTGCCTTTGCCGCATGTGTCGCCAGCATCTGTAGGAACTCTGCCGTCTGTGGGGCCAGTGCCCTATACGTATTAGCGGCAAGGCCGTAGAAGCCTTGTCAACATATATTTTATATGTGTTGTTTAGGTTAGTCTAGGTGTTACATTTCTACTTACTTGCATGATTAGGGTTTGCTATATCTAGGGTTGTACTTCACTTTTTTCTATCAATTCATTCTTATCGTAACATGGTATAGAGCTAGGTTGCGATTTTTCCCCTAGGCGATTTTTCCCCTAGGTGAAATTTCTCTCGATAGTCTATGGGCCCTCCACCCGCGCGCCTCGTAGCGACCCGTAGCCCGAAGCGCCCTGCCCCGTAGAGCCCGAGTAGACCGCGCCCCCCGTCACCATCGCGCGTCACCCGTTTCTGCCCTGCGCCCCACCCGTTTTTGCCGTGCGTCACTCGGTTTTCTGCCCCGCGCCCCACTCGTTTTACCCTGCGCGTTGCCCCCCAGCCCTCTAGTGCGCAGCAAACGAACGCGCGTAGCTGCGCGCGCAGCCTTAGTCGCACGCGCAGCTCCGCGCTAGTGCGTCGCGACCGCACGCACGTGCAGCAACAGCCGCGCGCACGTGCAGCCCACCGCCTTAACCGCCCCCAGACCTGAACACCCCCGCCCCAGACCTGAAAACCGCCGCCCCACCTGGAAACCCGCCGCCCCACCCCTGCAAACTCTGCCCCAAGACCTGAACCCGCCATCCTAGACCCGAAATCCGCCCCAGACCAGGAAACCCGCCGCCCCAGACCTGAAAACCGGCGCCCCAGACCTGAAAACCGGCGCCCCAGACCTGAAAACCGGCGCCCCAGACCTGACAACCGACGCCCCACCTGGAAACCTGCTGCCCCACCCATCCCAGGCACCTCACCCGGAATCAGCCGCCCCACCCAGTACTCTCAACCGCACAGAACCGCGCTGAACCACATTGAAGCGCACAGAACCGCACAGAACCGCACATAACCGCACAGAACCGCACCAAACCGCCGCCTCACCTTCCCCACCCGTAGCCCGCTGCCTTAACAGCTGCCCCACCTGAAACCCGCCTCCCCACGAGCTGCCACACCCGTTGCCAGCAGCACCAGCAGCAGCATAGGCTGCCCCCAGCGCACCAGCAGCAGCATAGGCTGCCCCCAGCGCACCAGCAGCAGCTAAGGCTGCGCCCAGCAGAGCCAGAAGCAGCATAGGCTGTCCCCAGCGCACCAGCAGCAGCTTAGGCTACCGCCAGCGCACCAGCAGCAGCATTGGCTGCCCCCTGGAAAACCAGTAGCAGCCTAGGCTGCCCCCCAGCAGAACCAGAAGTAGCACAGGCTGCCCCCCCAGCGAACCAGCAGCAGCATAGGCTGCCCCCAGCGAACCAGCAGCAGCATAGGCTGCCCCCAGCGCACCAGCAGCAGCTTAGGCTACCGCCAGCGCACCAGCAGCAGCATTGGCTGCCCCCTGGAGAACCAGTAGCAGCCTAGGCTGCCCCCCAACAGAACCAGAAGTAGCATAGGCTGCCCCCCAGCAGAACCAGAAGTAGCACAGGCTGCCCCCAGCGCACCAGCAGCAGCTTAGGCTGCCCCCCCGGCAGAACCAGCAGCAGCTTAGGCTCACATGGCGTGTACTAGGGTTCTACAGCAGCAGGGCCAGCCGCAGCACTCCCGTCAGTGGGGGCCTGCGGGTCCAAAGTGTGGCGCCCCCAGCAGTGGCTCAGCTAGCAGTGGGCGAGACGTCGGCCCCTGCGGGTACCGGGCCCTGACAGGCCCTAGTGCTGGCACTACCTGCTGGAGTCCTGACCACACTACGTCCAGCTGCTACCGTCGACTCGACGACCTCCACCGTGAGCGTTTTGGTCCTCACGCTATTACACCGCACTGGCCCTCGCGTCTTCGCCAGCGCACTACTGCACCAGTTGAGTCTCACCTACCTGGTCTAGGACCGTACCCGGCTGCACGAGTAGAGACCTGTGTTTCCAGTCTTGGTGCGTGTGTTGTTTCCAGTCCAGGCGCCTCTGAGGGTCTTTGTGTAGGAGCTGCAGCTACCACTAGTCTAGCACCAGCCTTTTTAGCTGGTTCGGGTGCGACCTCACAGACTGCACAACTTTCCTTCACCCTAGACTCTGGAGCGTCCAACTGTTTCTTTCGCGACTTTACTTACCTCACACCACTGCGCACTCCAGTCACTGTCGCCTTGGCTAACCCCTCTGTGGGACCGGTAGTTGCCCGCAGCACCACCACTCTCCCGTGTCCGGCGGCTCCCTCTGGGTTCCTCACAGGTTACTACACCCCCTCGTTCTCCAGGAACCTGGTGGGTGTTAGTCACCTCCACGACCTAGGTGTAGTCACTACTTTCCCAGTCGACGAGCCTGTTGCCTCCTGCACAGTCGGTACCACTGGGGCCCCTCTGGTCACTTTTCACAGGGAGCCGGGCTCTGGTCTGTACTCACTACACACTAGGTCCCACCACACTTGGTCAGGTCAGGTCAGGTCAGGTCAGTTAGCTGCTGTGTCGTGTGACTGTCGGTCCCTCACCCACCCGTCGGTCCTCTGGCACCATCGTCTAGGTCACCCGTCGTTCCCGCGTCTCAGTAGGATGGCACGTTACCGTCTGGTCTCAGGTCTCCTAGAGTCGCTTCCACCGCTTCCCCGCTCGCCTGCGCCGCTGTGCACTCCTCGCGTCGAGGGTCGGCAGCGCGCTGCCCCTCACTCCTCCTCGTTCCCCCCCACCACGGCTCCCTTCCAGACCCTGCACTTGGACGTCTGGGGCCCCTCCCCGGTCCTTGGGCCACGTTAGGAGCACTACTTCCTGATTGTGGTGGACGACTACTCCCGCTACACCACGGTTTTCCCTTTGCGACGGAAGGCCGACGTGCCGACCGTCCTCGAGCCGTGGCTACTAGCGTGGGGTGGAGCCCAGGGCCTGTGTGGGCTTCGCCTACACTTGGACCGTGGTGGTGAGTTTTCTTCCACTCGCCTGGAGACGTT